GCTGGATGGATTGCTGCTGGGCACTCATGGTGAAGAGCGGCTGGGGGGGGATGGGAGGCCATCAGCCGGGCAGGGGAAACCCAGCATTCAGGCTGGACACGCCAGCATCCCCCCACGGCATCCTCACCTCATATCCCCCCAGCTTGAGGGTGACGGTGACGTCGATGGGGTGGTTGACAACACCCACCACGGAGCGCACCAACGACATGAAGAGCAGCGGGAACCAGATGATGGCCACGAGGAAGAGGATGATGAGCCCCCCCATGCCGTACTTCACGATCTTCTTCTTCTTTTGCCCCTTGGGCTGGGGGTATTTCTGGGTGGGGGGAGACCGCACAGTGCCAGGTGGGCTTGGGGGGGACCCCAAGAAATGCAGAGGAGGTCTTTCTCAGCACAGTGGGGTACGAGACTTACCTTTTCCGTCTCGCGGCTGCACTTGATGATGAAGATGTTGGCGTAGATGTCCTCCACGCACATCCAGTTGGAGAGGGACAGCGTCGTATCCGTCCAGACCCAGTCCATGACGGCCCGCAGCTCCACCAGGAAGGGCACGAGGCGGAACCTGGGGGGCACACGGGGAGAGGGGGCTGGTACGGCACTCTCCAGGTGCCTGGGGGTCGCCGTGGCCCCGTGCCATACCCCTGGAAGAGGAAGAGGTTGAGGTGGTTGTATTTCTTGGTGAGGAAGTTGCCCAGGATGCGGGTGGGGTAGCCGCAGCGGATCTGGTAGGCTGAGAGTGAGAAGTAGATGCACTTCACGAAGTACCACAGCTGGGCCACCGTGTTGAGGCTGAACAACCTGCGGGGGGGAGCTGTCACCCCTCTGGCCACGTCCATGGCCACCACGTGGGCTTGAGGACACAAAGGTGCCACCCTAGGACCACGCCATGCCCTTGGGGCCAGCCTGGGGAGATGCTCAGTACCTTTCGGTGACAGCTGGCAGGATGAAGAACATCCAGAGGTGAATGCTGAAGACCAGGATGACCTGGAAGACGAGCTTGCCCAGCACGGTCTTGCGGAGGTAGAGCGCGCGGTCGATGACCATGGTAGTGAACTGGATGAGCAGCATGACCAGGAAGGCCTCTGGCACTTGGTCATCCGACAGCGAAGAGGTGATGTCGGCAGCCGCCGAGTGTTTCTGGAGGAAGCAGGAGAGGTCAGGATACAGCCCAGCCTGACCCCGTGGTGGGAGCCGACCAGACAGGAACCCTCTGCTCACCCCGAAAGCCCAGAAGCCGAAGATGATGATGATGAAGTCAACCACGTCGGCCAGGAACATGAAGGCATAGACGTCGGTGGCCGCCCGGTGCTGGGTGTGCAGGATGTCCCGGAAGAACCGGCGCACCGGCTGGTACATGTTCTGCGCCCTGGGTGGGACACAGAGGGGAGAGGTGACAGGGGGACTGCGCCCCAGGGCCCCAGCCCAACCAGCACTGCAAGGCACTCACATGGTGAGGAAGAAGAGCTTGACCCGGAGCCCAAACTCCTTCAGCTTCTTCTGAGCATGGCTCTCTTTTGCCTCTTCCTCCTCCTCCTCTTCCTCCTCCTCCGCCCCATCCTCTGCAAGTGAAGCATAATGTGAGTGACAACCCAGGGTCCTGCGGGGCCGCATCCTGCTCCGAGGATGCCAGCCTTGCCCCTCGACAGGGCACGAGGGATGGGACCTGGCACTCACCTTCCTCCACGTCTGCCTCGGGCTGCTTCTTCCCCCGCAGCCTCTTCCTCCTGAAGCGGAGCTGCGTGGCCTCGGCCCCCTCTTCCTGCCCCACGGCATTGCCCTCCGGCTCCAGCTCTGCGGCTGGGCTTGGTGTCCCCGGCTCTGCCAGCACC